TATCGGATCGGGACAAGCCTACTTTAGATCAGTCTGATCATTTTAGTTTTATTTAGATCTGTGTAACTGCATGAGCAGATTAAAATACGCTACATAGTGGATTTTAACTATTTGAATCATCAGTTTCTATTAATCTTCACTCTGTCTCCATTTAAATTATATCTACCCAGCAAAGGTGGGTTGACTAACCCAAAATTGTATTAAAGTAAGAGTAACTCAGTACTCCATCGTATAGGGGTTAAAAAACATATTTGGTAAAAAGGCTATTCAAGCACTGAGTAATTTTATTTTTTATTTAAGATTATGTAATAAACCTACGGAGCCCATAAAGGGACATGGAGGGAAAAAAAAGAACTTTTGCGAGATCCCGCAATACTTTTGCGAGATCTCGCAAAAGTGTATTTTTTGTGAGATCTCGCAAAAGTTTTGCAGGATCTCGCAAAAGTTTATTTTTTCCCTCCATGTCCCTTTAGGGGCTCCGTAGGATTGCATACTGACATTGTCTCTCTTTATTCGTGTAATCGCGTGTTTTGGGACTTCTCTAGAAATTAAGAACCTCTCCAAAGCATCCTCCATGGTTGTAGCTGACACATGGGCGTATTATCCTCCCATAGCAGTACACTTTGCACCTCCACTGTTGTGTGTCTGTTTTACTTCCGGTTCGCTGACATGGCAAAACGTTTTGCGAGATCTCGCAAAAGTTAATTTTGTCCCTTTAGGGGCTCCGTATAAAACAGACCAAAAAAGTTATGAGCAAATTCAGGTATTTTAAAGTTTTAATAAAATTTCTTAAACAAAGGAATACTGTAACTGAAAAAAATAACAAATCCAGGGAGAAAAAACACTTTTCTGAACTAATTTTCTCTTTAAAGATGTTCACGACTAGTTGAAGATGTTGGCCTAAAATTGCTGTAACTTTCCTTTTAATTAAAATTACTATTAGTGATACATAATTCATAACTCATAATTTTCTCAAGAATTGTATATCCTTTGTTTAATTTTTAATTCATTGCACAATTGATAAAAAGGAAACCTTTCTGTGGGTTTCCATGTTTTCAGGTGTGCAATGCATGCTGGGTTATGACGTTAGGTCGTACTGGACAGGAACCTACAGAGTAAACACAGGAAGGCTAACATTAGATGTTTTTTATCGTATTGACTGGTATAATTTTAGTCAATTCCACACTTTCTTTTTGCCATAATACATGAAATATCTGTTGAAATGAATAAATGATCTGCTGTTTACTATGTTAGCTAGAGCTAACACCATTAGCAGAAGCTAGCGTGAACCCAAAATCAAATCAGAAGGTAATGAATGACTTTTTAAAGCCACATAGAATCATCTTTTAGTCACTGTCAAACTTTGTTTTAATATATCTGAGAGAATGAACCATAAACAGCCTCAATTAGAAACCAGAGCTCTTTGTAGCATAGCTCTCCACCTGAGTTAGCATCTCCTAGCAGAAGCCACAGTCTCCCCTCTTCTTCATTTGGTCCTTCTTATCTTTGTTATATCTTGTGGTTTCTAAATTGTCATCATTTTAACACATTCCAGTTCAAAGTGAAAAAGTTTACCCTTACTCATTGTTGATTTGGCTGGCTGGAACTAGCGCTAAAGGACCTAGCATACGTCATTTACCCAAAATGCATTGCAGCGTAAAAAACATGGTGACCTCCATATTACATTATTTCATTTAAATTATTAAAAATGAACAGTTTAAAACACTTAATTGTATTGTGTTTAGTTGGGAACCAATTGTGGATCTTTGTAACATAAAACTTATGAAACCAGTACAGATATAAATTAAACTTGTGTACACGAATTGAACGCAAATAATGCAACAAAAAGAGTTTTTTTGTTTTACACAAGCTTTTTCATTATTCAGTGCATCAAAAAGAGTTTTTTTGTTTTACACAAGCTTTTTCATTATTCAGTGAAGTTACTAAAAATGGATGAAGTAGCCAAACATTTTCTGTAAAAAAAAGAGTAAAACGTAAAATTATGGTGCTTTAAAAACCGCTCCTAATAGTATGTTTGTCACAAAGTGAAATGTAACTAGTTACTACCCACTGCTGCTACAAATTACACTTTAATCCAGCAAACTAAGAAGACATACACTGGAAAGAATTAAAGTCCTTGAATTGAGGAGGTAAGTAAGACACTTTGCCAATGGAACAAGACAATTTCCCTTTAAAATAAGAAAAAAACTACTGCAGTCTCATATTT